TTTCCACCAGATGCTAAGGAGGCTGTCCAAGTCCTGAACCGGTGCCTGGCCGCAGTGACGGTCTGGATGAGGGAAAGCAAATTGAAGTTGAATCCAGACAAGACTGAGGTCCTCCTGGTGAGTCGCAAGGCCGAACAGGGTATAGGGTTGCAACCCGTGCTGGACGGGGTCACACTCCCCTTGAAGGCACAGGTTTGCAGCTTGGGAGTTCTCCTAGATTCATCACTGAGCCTGGAATCCCAGGTTGCAGTGGTGGCCAGGGGAGCGTTCGCACAATTAAAACTTGTGCGCCAGCTACGCCCGTACCTTGGGAAGTCAGACTTGGCCACGATGGTCCACGCTCTCATTATATCTAGAATAGACTACTGTAACACACTCTACGTGGGGTTGCCTTTGAAAACTGCTCGGAAGCTTCAAATAGTCCAACGAGAGGCAGCCAGGTTAATAACTGGGGCAGCATACAGGGAGCATACAACTCCCATGTTACACCAGCTCCACTGGCTGCCAGTTTGCTACCGGGCACAATTTAAAGTGCTGGGTTTGATCTATAAAGCCCTAAACGGCTCCGGCCGAAATTACCTGTCAGAACGCACCTCCCCCTATGAACCACCACGGAGATTAATATCCTCCGAGGAGGCCCTGCTTTCCGTCCCGCCATTGTCACAGGCACGATTGGTGGGGATGAGAGACAGGGCCTTCTCGTTGATTGCTCACCGGCTATGGAACTTACTTCCTGGTGAGATCAGGTCGCCCCCCTCCCTCCTGTCCTTTAGAAGGATGGTAAAAACTTGGCTGTGGGACCAAGCTTTTGGGTCAGGGCAATGAAGCAGCAGTGGAAAAGATGACAGGGCCAATTGGATTTGATGCAGATGGCTAGGACGGTTTTAAATGATGTATTTTAATATTTTGACAAATGTTTTTTAATGTTTATGTATTGTATGTGAATCTGTGTCCCGGCATTGAATGTTTGCCGTGTATATGCTGTGCTCCGCCCTGATTCCCCTTCGGGGTGAGAAGGGCAGAATATAAATGTTTTAAATACATAAATAAATATTTTCTGCAACATGGTGCCACAATCAACAGCAAAACCTATGTAACCACACTTAAGAAACTTAAGGAGGCAATGAAAAAGAAGACGCCATTAAAAGACATTTGTTCCATCAAGCTTCATCATGATAATGCAAACCCACACACATCATTTTTCACAAACCAGGTGATGGCAAAATGGGCTGGTCAGTAGTGCCTCCCCCACCCTATAGCCCTGATTTGGCTCCTTCTGACTTTTACTTGTCTTGACTTCTGAAAGACAACCTACATGGTTCCAGATTAAATTTCTTGAATAATGTTAAAATAGCTTTAAAATCATGGATCAAGAAGGAAAACCCTGAATTTTTCCAAAATGGTTTTGATGCTTAAATGATGGCACGAATGTGTACAGATTGATAGTGACTATGTTAAATGGTAGTTTTGTGAAGAGGATAGTTCAGGCTACGATCTGTAGCAACTTCTGTTGTTATATTTTCATTCGTAACGCTTTTATGACACTAAAAGGCAAAACTTTTTGACCCACCCGCATCTTTACCTGCCATTCCAAGAAACTAGCAGTAAACATGATCCATGTCAAATCCACGGAAACAAAACAAATGGGAGTAGGAGAAAAAAACGTAACAAGCTCAGTGGGTACGCTTCCCTCATTTTACAGAAACAGGTATTGACAGGGGAAGAGTGGCTGTGAACATGGGCAGAGTGTTGTTTCTCCCGCTCTTGTCATCCAGACAGCAGGAAGCCTTCAGCCACTTTGGGTTAGGGATAAGAGCCTTGAGGTCAGGGATTAGATGGAGCTCTCCAGAGAAGAGCGGTGCCATCACAGCAGGGCTTTGGGGCTGAACTCTAGGACCCTGCTTAGCTGAGCAGGCGAGCACCGGAGAGAGCCCCAACTTATTAATATTTCGAAGGGAAGCAAAAGAGAAGAAGGGGTCTCTCTCTTTCACACTATTGAACAAATAAAAATCATACCAGGAGGGAGCAGTCCTGGATGTTGTTGCCATTTCAGAGCCTATCCCAATAATGCCATGAGAAGAGATGGAGGCGCAACACTGACTTCTCCAACTTATTAATATTTAAATGTGTTGTTGAAGGCTTTCATGGCCGGAATCACTGGGTTGCTTGAGTTTTCCGGGCTGTACGGCCATGTTTCAGAAGCATTCTCTCCTGACATTTCACCCAGATGTGGGTGAACAGTCAGGAGAGCATACTTCTGGAACATGACCATACAACCCAGAAAACTCGCACAACCCTATTAATATTTCGAAGGGAAGCAAAAGAAAAGAAGGGGTCTCTCTCTGTGACACTACTGAACAAATCAATAGTCATATTAGGAGGGAGCAGATTTTGATAATGTTGCCATTTCAGAGCCTGTCCCAATAATGCCATGAGAAGTGACTTCACCAACTTATATTTCAATGTGTTGTTGAAGGGTCTCATGGTCGGAATCACTGGGTTGCTTGAGTTTTCCGGGCTGTATGGCCATGTTCTAGAAGCATTCTCTCCTGACGTTTTGCCCTGATATAATTTTTCCGAGCTGTGTGGCTATGTTCCAGAAGTATTCTCTCCTGATGTTTCATCCACATCTGGAGCCCCCGGTAGTGCAATGGTTCAACCCTTGTGCAGGCAAGACTGAAGACTGACAGGTCTCAGGTTCAAATCCAGGGAGAGCATGGATGAGATCCCTCTGTCAGCTCCTGCTCCCCATGTGGGGACATGAGAGAAGCATCCCACACGGTTGGTAAAACATCAAAAACATCTGGGCATCCCCTGAGCAACGTTCTTGCAGACGGCCAATTCTCTCACACCAGAAGCGACTTGCAGTTTCTCAAGTCACTCCTGACACACACAAAAACCATATCTGGCTAAAACATCAGGAGAGAATGCATCTGGAACATGCTCCCTATGTGGGAACATGAGAGAAGTGTCCCACATGGTTGGTAAAAACATCAAAAATATCCAGGCATCCCTTGGGCAACGTCCTTGCAGATGGCCAATTCTCACACCAGAAACGACTCGCAGTTTCTCAAGTCATTCCTGACATGAAAAAAAAATCTAGGTGAAACATCAGGAGAGTATGCTTCTGGGACATGGCCAAAAAGCCCGGAAAACTCACAGCAACCCTATTAATATTTCAAAGGAAAACAGAAGAGAAGAAGGGGGGGGGGGTCTCCTTCCACACTGCTGTACAATTTCCATCTATATATAGAACCTCAATCTAAATAAAGCACCTTGTTTTGATGGCGCAGTGGGCTAAACTTGTGTGCCGGCAGGACTGAAGACCGACAGCTCGCAGGTTCGAATCTGGGAAGAGTGCGGATGAGCTCCTTGTGTCAGCTCCAGCTCCCCAAGTGGGAACATGAGAGAAGCTTCCCACAAGGATGGTAAAACATCAAAACATCCGGGCGTCCCCTGAGGCAACGTCCTTGCAGACGGCAAATTCTCTCACAGCAGAAGCGACTTGCAGTTTCTCAAGCTGCTCCTGACACACACACACAAAACCCCCCTTGTTTCGATGTGCCTTTAGTGCCACCACTGAGCCCCCAGTGGTGCAGTGGGTTAAACCCCTGTGCTGGCAGGACTGAAGACCGATAGGTCGCAGGTTCGAATCTAGGGAGAGTGCGGATGAGCACCCTCTATCAGCTCCAGCTCCCCTCATTTTTTTGTCGTGTCAGGAGTGACTTGAGAAACTGTAAGTTGATTCAGGTGTGAGAGAATTAGCTGTCTGCAAGGACGTTGCCCAGGGGACGCCCGGATGATTTGATGTTTTTATCATCCTTGGGCTTCTCTCATGTCCCCGCATGAGGTGCTGGCGTCCCCTGAGCAACGTCCTTGCAGACGGCCAAGTCTCTCACACCAGAAGCGACTTGCAGTTTCTCAAATCGCTCCTGACACACACAAATCCCCCTTGTTTTGATGTGTCTTTAGTGGCAACTTCCTAGAAAGGGTTAAAGGCAATCCACACCAGCCCTGGGCTGACATTAATAACCCCAGATCAGTGGGGCAGGGTGCAATCGAGGTGACTCCTCCTCCTCGTCCTTCTGTTTCCAGTGTTAATGATCTACTATAGGAAAGCAGAGACAGAGAGAGGCAGGCTGAGAGCCCTCCTCCCTCCTCCTCCCTGTCGCTCTATTATTTCCTTGCTCAAAAGGTGTCCTTTTGTAGATTGGGGGGGGGGGGGTTGGGAGATGCCTATCCTCCCCACTTCCGCCCTCGAGACAGCCTACCATAACATCACAAGCGAGGATACCGATCCCTTATGGCAACGTTACAAGCAAAAGCCCCAAACACACACATATACACACAAGAGACGCACTCACACACGTACAATGCTCCACGGGAGCTAATAATAGCACCCTGCTAATCCGGAAGGAAGCCGAGAGAGACAGTCCGAGGTCACTGCCGTAAGCGACGTCAAAACAGATCTTTTTTTCTCTCTTAACACACAAAAAAACCGCACCATAACAACCCAAGCTCTTTTTAAGGCTCAGATCTCCCCCATTGCCTTGCATGGAGGGCGATTAGAATCATCACACACATACACAGAGAGAGAAAACAAAGCCATAAACAAAATTGAAAGGGAATGACAAAAAAAAAAACCCAGGGATATTAATACCCTTCCTATCAACACACAGACACAAACCTCCCAGTGATGTGTAAATCTGTGCCTCTCCCCCCCTCCCCCCTTTTTGGCCAGGAAATACCGTTATAGGAAACAATAGAAGCTGAAATACTTCCAGTGCGTGAAGATGACAACAATTGTGTATATTGTGTCTAGATCTCACAGAAGGGAACTCTTTCCAATCATCTCTATCTCTCTCTCGTTCTCCCCCTGGGAAGAATGAGAGAGAGGATGGATGGGGGCGAAGGGTTATCCCGGATGAGCCCCCAATGTGGACAGCAGGAAGAGTTGGCTGAAGGAGGCAAAATAGAGGAGAGGTGTCGGCCAGGCTTACCTTGATGCACGGCGACGTTACAGCCGTGCCCATCGCAGTAGACCAAGGGGTTCTCCGCCCAGCCCCGCTCGTCAGAACAGACGCAGCAGCCACCCACCATCTCCTTCATTCTTCCATAAGTTTCTTCGTTGTGGATCCCCCCCTCCCTCCTTCGAAATAACCACGATCCTCCGGGGTGTTGTTTCCAAGCACGCGTCCGCTCTTCTCCTCTCCTTTCTCTCTCCTCAATTCCTCATCTTTTGCGGGATCCACATTGTTGTGGCTGGGCCAAAGCAGCAGCAGCGCCGCCGCCGCATCCACACGCGCGCAAACACACGCGCACGCCGCCGGCAACTGGGCAAGGCACACACACCACGCACACAACGTCGCGCAGCCTTACAAGCCAGCAATCATGGCTCCACGCGCCTCCTGCGAAGTCTTCGCTTCAGGAACAGCTGCCACACTTCGCAGGGAAAGAGAGGAGAGGGAAACGTCTCGGCTGCCTGCCTCTCGGCCCGCTCCCCGCCGCCGTCTTGCGTGGATCGCCCTCTCGCTCCCCTTGTCTCCTCCTCCTCCTCCTCCCTTTCTCTCCGTCTTCATCCAAAGGAAGGGAAGCGGGCAACCCCAAGTCTGGCCAGCCAGCAAAGCGTCCGAGCTTGCCGCGCCGTTGTTCAATATGGAGCGAGGACCAAAAGGAGAGGGGGAGAAAAGGAAAGATTTAGAAAAAAAAGGAGGGGGGAGATCTCTCCCTCCCTTAAATCCTATTATCTGTAACGTTGCGTTGCCTGCTTTGACAGATCAAGGCAGCAGCAGCGCCACCTTTTGGCCGGAGAGGGGAAGGAGCCCTGCTTGGGGAAAAGCGCGCCTGGAGGGCATCCAGCCAATACATCTCCTGCGTGGTTGTAGATTTTTCAAGCTGTATGGCAGTGTTTCTCAACCTTCCTAATGCTGCGACCCCTTAATACAGTTCCTCATATTGTGGTGACCCCCAACCATAACATTATTTTCTTTGCTACTTCATAACTGGAATTTTGCTACTGCTTTGAATTGTAGTGTAAATATCAGATATGCAGGATGTATTGTCATTCACTGGACCAAATTTGGCACAAATACCCGATATGTCCAAATTTTAATACGGGGGGAGGGGGTTTGGAGGAATTGATTTTGTCATTTGGGAGTTGTAGTTTCTGGGATTTATAGTTCACCTATAATCAAAGAACACCACCAACAATAGAATTGAATCAAACTTGGCACAAAGAACTCCCATGACCAAAACATAATACTGGAAGGCCTTGATGGGCAATTGAGTTTTGGAGTTGTAGTTCACCTACATCCAGAGAGCACTGTGGCTTCAAACAATGATGGATCTGGACCAAACTTGGCATGAATACTCAATATGCCCAAATGGTGGAGTTTGGGGGAAATAGACCTTGACATTTGGGAGTTGTAGTTGCTGGGATTTATAGTTCATCTACAATCAAAGGAAATTCTGAACCCCATCAACAATAGATTTGGGCCAAACTTCCCAAATACTGTGTTGTCTGATGGTCTTTGGTGACCCCTCTGACATCCCCTCACGACCCCCTCAGGGGTCCTGACCCCCAGGTTGAGAAACACTGCTGTATGGGCATGTTCCTCCAGCAAAGGATCACCGCCTTGTTGTGGCGCTGGAGCTTGAGCACCTCAATGAGCTTGAGCACCTCACTTCTGTACAGTGGCCCTTATTTCTCATGCCAGTAAGGTAATGCTCAAGATCCTGCAAGGAAGACTCCAGCAATACATGGATAGGGTGGTCCATGCCTTGGTCACTTCTAGGTTGGATTACTGCAATGCGCTCTACGTAGGGCTGCCCTTGAAAACGGCTCAGAAACTCCAATTGGCCCAACGGGCAGCAGCCAGGATGTTAACCGGGGCTCATTACAGAGAGAGGTCAACCCTCCTGTTCAAGGAGCTCCACTGGCTGCCGTTTATTTTCCGAGCCCAATTTAAGGTGCAGGTGCTTACCTACAAAGCCCTGAACGGTTTGGGACCACCCTACCTGCATGACCGCATCTCCGCCTATGAACCCACGCGATCGCTTCGGTCATCTGGGGAGGCCCTGCTCGTGATCCTGCCTGCGTCACAAGCGCGCTTGGTGGGGACTCGAGACAGGGCCTTCTCTGTGGTGGCTCCCCGACTCTGGAACGCCCTCCCAAAAGATCTCAGACAGGCCCCTTCATTGGCAGTCTTCAGAAAGAATTTGAAGACCTGGCTATTCCGATGTGCCTTCTCAGATTAGGAATCTCCAATACCAAGTCCTAGAAGCACTTTAGTAGAATTAAGATTGCTGCACTCTGCACACTGCACTTATTTATAATCCTGCATACCTTCTGCCACATCAGCACTTTTAATCTTGTACCCATTACTCTGGCCCGGCCCAGTTTTTATAGTGTCTTGATGTATTGTTTTATTGTTGTTGTTTATACTGCTTAGCTGCTTTTAATTTGTTTTTAATTTGCTTATGTATTGTATTGTTGTATTGTGTTTTGAGGCCTTGGCCTATGTAAGCCGCATCGAGTCCTTCGGGAGATGCTAGCGGGGTACAAATAAAGTAATAATAATAATAATAATAATAATGGAGCAAGAGTTGCCAGATGTTCAAGCTGGGTTTAGAAAAGGCAGAGGAACGAGAGACCAGATTGCCAATATCCGCAGGGAGTTTCAGAAAAACATCTATTTCTGTTTTATTGACTATTCTAAAGCCTTTAACTGCGTGGATCATGATCAATTGTGGCAAGTTCTTGGTGGGATGGGCATACCAAATCTCTCTCCTGAGGAATCTGTATAAGGACCAAGTAGCAACAATAAGAACTGACCATGGAACAGCAGACTGGTTCAAGATTGGGAAAGGCAAATGGCAGGGTTGTATACTCTCATCCAACCTATTCGACTTGTATGCAGAACACATCATGAGATGTGTAGGGCTTGATGAATGCAAGGCTGGGGTCAAAATTACTGGAAGAAACAATAACAACCTTAGATATGCAGATGATACCACTTTGATGGCCAAAAGCAAGGAGGAGCCGAGGAGCCTTCTAATCAAGGTGAAAGAAGAAAGTGCAAAAGCTGGGTTGCAGTTAAACATTTAAAAAAACCAAGATTATGGCAACCAGACTGATTGATAACTGGCAAATAGAGGGAGAAAATGTGGAGGCCGCGACAGACTTTATTTCTAGGTGCAAAGATTACTGCAGACGCAGACTGCAGCCAGGCAATCAGGAGACGCTTACTTCTTGGAAGGAGAGCAATGACCAATCTTGATAAAATATTGAAGAGCAGAGACATCACACTGGCAACCAAGATCCGCATAGTTAAAGCAATGGTATTACCTGTAGTAACCTACAGATGCGAGAGCTGGACCATAAGGTAGGCTGAGCGAAGGAAGATAGATGCTTTTGAACTGTGGTGTTGGAAGAAAATTCTGAGAGTGCCTTGGACTGCGAGAAGATCCAACCAGTCCATACTTAATAAAAACCGACAACTCATTGGAGGGAAGGATACAAGAGGCAAAGATGAAGTGCTTTGGCCACATCATGAGAAGACAGGAAAGCTTAGAGAAGACAATGATGCTGGGGGAAATGGAAGGAAAAAGGAAGAAGGGCCGACCAAGGGCAAGATGGATGGATGGTATCCTTGAAGTGGCTGGCTTGACCTTAAAGGAGCTGGGGGTAGTGACAGCTGACAGGGAGCTCTGGCGTGGGCTGGTCCATGAGGTCACAAATAGTCGGAAGCGACTGAACGAATGAACAACAAACATGAATATGGATAGACTAACTAATCTAATGACAACGTATCAACAGAAAAGGAAACCTCAAATAGACTGGACAATGGTAAAAGAATATCTCAGAAAAGAAAATATAAAAATATTGATATAAAAAACAAGGGAAACCCAGAGGTCTAAACTTATCTATAACAACAACAACAACAACAACAAAACTTTATTTATATACCTCTCTATCTCCCCGAGGGAACTCAGAGCAGTTTCCAAGTGACATCCTCAATACATACAAAGAAAACAACATAAACATAAAATTAACAAGACAATATAAACATAAAAAATCACAATAGCACATATATATTTAAAATAATCCTGCCTGTTCAAGGCAATTTAAAAGGCTGGGCCAAGGCTAGTACAATTTGTAGAGGGCCCTGGAAATTAGGCAGAGTCCAACTCTTTGCTTCCCAAAGTCCACTGCGGCCCCCAACAAAGACCGATAAAGACCAATCTTGGCACACAGAGCCCCCATGACCCACTCTACATCCTACTGGAGTTTGGAGATGGGCGGACCACGGATGATGGGACTTGAAGTACCTTCACTCACTTCCCGAGACCGCTGCGACCCACACATATGACTGATCAAGACCAAACTTGGCACACCGAGTCACTATGATCCACTCTACATCCTGGCGCTGTCTGGAGGAGGATGGACCATGGATGATGGTAACTTACTGAGACCACTGCGAGCAACATAAATAACTGATAAAGACCTACCTTGATACACAATGCCTTTCTCAAATAACCCGGGCACTGCTGGGTCCCCAAGCTAGTTCTTAATAAAAATTTAGGTAAAAAAATACAGTTCCTCATGTTGTGCTGACCCTCCCCCCCCCCACCATAGCATTTTCGTTGCTACTTCATAACTGTAATTTTGCTACTGTTATGAGGAGCCCCCAGTGGCACAGTAGGTTAAACCACTGAGCTGCTGAACTTGCTAACCGAAAGATCACAGGTTCGAATCCGGGGAGTGACATGAGCTCCTGCTGTTAGGCCCAGCTTCTGCCAACCTAGCAGTTCGAAAACATGCAAATGTGAGTAGATCAATAGGTACCGCTCCAGTTTCTGCCAACCAATAGGTACCGCTCCAGCTTCTCCATGATCGCATCTCCTTCTATGAACCGGCGCAAACTCTAAGATTGTCCGGGGAGGCCCTCCTCTCGCTCCCACCAATTACCCAGATCACTTCCTCTGATAGGGCCCGGAAATGAACAGCCATAGACCCATACCTATCATTGTTGTTGCCTGCTATAGCACTGCACTTAATTCCCAGCCCCCCTAGAATTTTTGAGCTTGCACTAATCTCGGCCCGGCCTTTTAAATTGCCTTGAACAGGCAGGATTACTTTTAATATATATGTGTTATGGTGACAATTTTTATGCTTATATTGTTTTGTTAATCTTATGGTTATGTTGTTTACTCTGTATGTATTGTTGATTTTACTTGGAGACCGCTCTGAGTCCCCCCTGGGGAGATAGAGCGGTGTATATATATAAAGTTTTCTATTATTATTATTATTATTATTATTATTATTATTATTATTATTATTCTGCCAACATAGCAGTTCGAAGGTCTCGATCTTTCAACATGATTCCATGGTTGCCATCCATTGGAAAATGTCCATAGAATCATACGTGAGAACCTAGAGATGCCTACAGAGGTGTTCTATTTAGAAATCTCTAGGGCCTCTAGAGATTGGAAGAAGTTGACTACAGAGTCACCCTAGAGGAGCTAGAGGTTCCTGGCAAGAATTTTTTTAAAATCCATGAATAATCAAATCCCAAAATGTCAAAACTGCAAATGTGATGGGATAACTGTTTGTCCCACTCCAAAGTAGACACAATCGAAAGGAGCTGGGTGTGTATGTAATCTAGAATTAACAGTTGGTTAATATAACAATGTCTTTATTCAGTTTTTCATTTCCACAGGGGTCTTGTGGCCTTAACCCCAGAGAATGTAGAGAGGGAGGAAACAGGGCTTGGTTTCC